GACCCGGGAATCGAACCCGAGACCTCTTGCTCGGTAATCTCACTTTCGACCACTCGGCCATCGAGGCAGTAATAGAGGCAAATAAAATAATATTTAAACATATAAAAATATCCCGCCGTATCGGGAGCATGGTCTGGAAGTATGGTCCAAGCTACCGGTGGTTAGGGCGCCAGAGACAGAAACCTCCTCACGATACGTGCCGTTTCTTGGAGAACTGCCTTCTGTATTAGACCCTTGTAGCATCCACCTATAGCCAGCCTCCTAAGATGGATGCCGAGGCCTTTAGGAATTAACAAATTGGCCGACACGACTATCGTTACATTAATATTTGAATTACAGTAACAAATCAGTCATTGCTGAAAAAAATATTTACTTAAAACGTTTCAGATGTCCAGGTGGTCTACTTAATTTAATTAGATACCTAGTTGAAATATTTGTTTTAGGCCCCTGTCAAAAATCTCATAACAACATTTCGCATCAAAACATCTTGCTCAAAACAAAATATAATATAAAATTTATTTCTAAATCACTTCATAAAAGATAAGCAAAACACTTAGCGAAGTAAGTAAAAACAAAACCAATAATATTATATAGGCGCCATGCTAAAAGCGTCGCACTTAATATAAATACGCTTGTTCTGGACCGAAATGTGGTCACAGTTTAAGCGAGTCCATTATTTTAAGCGAGCGATGTAAATAAGTATCTAATTTAAAGGAAAATGTTGAAGATAATTTCATTATAACGCGTGACAATAATTTTTTTGGTGGCATAAGCTGGTAAACGAGCTGACGGAACACCTGATGATAAACAATCGGCGTCGCCCATGGACACCTGAAACACCAAGTGCGTTACCGGCCTTTTGATAATTGGAAATTAAGGATTGTGGATGATTCGTGGATTGGGGTGACTGGGGCGGTGGGTGGGGGTGATTGGGCCTCCGGTAACCTCACTCACACGACGGAACACAACGCAAGCGTTGTTTCACGTCGGTTTTCTGTGAGGCCGTGGTATCACTCCGGTCAAGCCGGCCTAATCGAGCCAAAGCATGGCTCTCACACACTTTAAATGCTAATATATTCCTCAAGGACGTTAAAAATATGGTGGACATAATGTCATTCAGAAGTGATTGAGGCGCCAAAATATCAGTGGGTTTTTTTATAATATAAGGGCTCTTAATGCCACTGTACCTCTACAATGTAACACACCCTTATCACTATTTATGTTAAGAGTCTCATGTAATAGGGAGTGAGCCTATTGCTATATACTGGGCACAATTCCAGACTCCGTGCTACTACTGAGATTTTTTTAAAACCCTTTACTAATTTGCCAAGTTATATAGAGTGGATAGGTATAATACATGATCACTCTATACCTGTTTGAAAAAAAAAAGTAATAAGTAATGCGCGTTCTCAATAATCCTATAACAAGTTTGTTATCTTCAATCCTTTAGTAGGTACCTACAAATGCATTTTCAAACAAGTTTTAAATGACCTCATTTCAATGCGAATCGATTTTTGTATCGATTGAAAATAATTAGATAAAATATTTAATGTCACTTAAAGGTTCAGTACCTACCCCAAATGTTTTATTTTCCAACCGGTTCTTATTAATTAAACATTAACATAAGTTGTATGACAATCAACCCAATACTTCGGGTTTTTAAATTCGTTTACTTATTATACTGTGTTTACCCCGAAAACACACACATCTCAATAGCATTTTGACCGATCCTTTAATCTAGTCTAAGACTCTTGCTCCCTTTCAGTCGTTCACTTTTTGACCCATAAGACAGTTATAGGTTATAAAAAACCGACTGCAACTAGGTATCATTATACAACCCCGTCTTTTTATGAAGTCGGTTAATTAATAAAACCTTAAATACTTTAATATAAGAACGTTCTCCTAATTGTAACAAACTCGTTATTGAAAACTGCATCAAAATCGGTTCATCTAATCGCGGTATATTCGATTAATACACACATACATATATACAGGTCAGAAGCAGTTTTGCTAGCTAAGAAGGAGGCAGGGCGCTGGAGGCAGCGAAGCGCTACATTTACAGACCAGGCGTCGCGTCGGGGATCGCGGAACGATCTCTGGCCACCGTAAGTACGGGCCTGCGGAGGGCGAGCATGGGTAGCTCGCCGCCCGACCAGAACCAGACCCGAGCGTACGACGTGTCGCGTTACGTGCGCGCCTCAAAGAGCTATATTGGGCTGATGCCGACACGGAGCCACGGAGGAGTTAACGAGTGCCGGGGTTCCAGCTCGAAGGATAGGAGTAGGAAGTGGCTGGTCTTTAGTAAGTAAGAGTCTGACACTCCTTCCCGCCTCACCTGGGCGGGAGAAGTAATTCGATTATTTTCCCCCCTTAAAAATACATACAGGTCAAACTGAGAATCTCCTTTTTTAAGCCTATTAATACATCGATTAACAAAATAAAACAAATACCTTAACGAGATTTTAATTAACAAAAATGTTGCCAAAAATTACTAAAGCTAAATTCTAAAGCCAGGTTCTCCAACCAACAAATCAAGCCAGAAAAAAAAACTTACAAAAAAAACCTCATTACCATGCATCAAACATAATCACAGCTATTCTCATTTCCACGCTAACATTACGACCGAGCCTGTCTTACTCATGAGTAAAGTTTCCGTGGCCATTTCAAAGATAAGGGTACAGAAATTGAACGCATTTGCTTGATATCTCTGTATTAAACGAACCTTTGGATGTGGCATTGTGGTGGTGTGGATGAAAGGCTAACTTCTTATCGTTGGCCCTTGAATGAGTTTAGGTTTACAGTTTGTTTTATAGAGTAAATAAGTGTAAATTTGTGTTTGTGTGGTCAAAAATAAATTGTTTTGTGTAAAACATGTTCAAAAGTATAGGAAAGCCATGCTTCGGCACGAATGGGCCGGCTCGACCGGAGTGATACCACGGCCTCACGGAAAACCGACGTGAAATAACGCTTGCTTTGTGTTTCGTCGTATGTTTGAGTTTACCGGTGCCCCAATTACCTTCCTCCCCAACCCCAGAATCCTCTACAATCCTCAAATTCCTTACCCCTAAAAGGCCAGTAACACATTTGCAACGCTTTTGGTGTTCCAGGTGTAGTGACACCGGCGCCAATTACTTTTCCATCGCGTCATCGGCCTGGCCGTTTACCGACTTATTCCATAAAAAAATACTATCTTATGGTGTGTATGATTCATCCATATTGCCCACCAATAGCCTGTGATAGTGCACAACTAGATTATAAATGAGCATCCTCTGTGTAAGACACTTTGGTATCCCGAGCGTACCTAAGGCGAGTCGCGTTCGCGCGCGCCTCAGAGCGCCATCAGACCACCACAGATGGGGCCCAATAGGGCTGATGCCCGATACGGAGCCACGGAAGACTTAACGGGTTGCCGGGGCTCCGAGGTTGGCAATAGGCTCACCCCCTATTACATGGAACTCACAATATAAAATAGTGAAAAGTGGATGTTACATCGTACAGTGGCATTAAGTGCCGCAATGTTCACCTCTGCCTACCCTTTCGGGGATAAAGGGTGTGATGTTATGTTATGTATTTTTATGGTGTTTGTGGTAATTAATTTCGTAAAAAAAATTATTGGGCATACTTAGTCTTGTAATGTACTTGAACATACATTATTTGCATACCATGATAGCAAATACTAGAGTGTTACTATAAATATTAAACACGTACTATATTGTATACTTTAAAACCCATGTTTGCAAGCGAAATATTTAATTTGATTTGAATAATATGAATCATGTAAATCACTATTTTCTTTGTCACTTATCAAAATTCTCATACGTAGGCTAACGATATTGACCTTGGATGAATGATATAACAATATTGTATTACAAGTCTAATGTACCTACGCATTTTGATCTTAAGAAATCAAATCTCAGATTGACATTTAGATAATAATATATTAAAAGTTCAGATTTTAAAAGAATATAAATAAGTACAGTCTCGTTTAATAATGCGTATTGTACCTATATTGAAATTATAATTATATTTTATTTTCGTGACTAGAATTATAAGTCTTGAGTCAATGTATTGTATTTCTCAAGGTGGTATAACAATGACATTTAGAAAACATTCAGTACATCTAGACTGTAAGTAGGATAAAGTACGTGACTAAATAACCTTTCGATCCCTGTGGATAGGCAGATATGCGCAAAGGGCGCTAACCACTCTATTCTCCTTTCTTTCTTCACCTTCTTCACCCAGTTATCTATCCCCTTACTTTCAATACTTATGCGCAAACCACAGTAAAAATCTTCGTTCTTCTCACAACCGTCTTCTCCAATGTCCCACTCATCGCACTGACTTTTTACATTCATCCTTTTTCGTACAGGCAATTTTTCTGTGGAATGCGCTCCCCCTAGATGTCAGGATGGTCTCAACTCGACTAACTTTTAAGCAGAAAGTACGTGAGCTTTTCCTAAAAAGGTTGGCTGAATCATCGCGCTAACTATCCACTGTGTACTAGTAAGCAAGTATATATTTATATATTATGTATATATGTATGTATGTAGGCATATTGTACTCATATGTAGGTATACATTATAATTAAATTTATTTATGTATGTATATCTATGTAATATATTAGTTTATCTTTTATTTTTAATTTATTGTTAAATAAAAACACTGCTTGCCTCTTGCACCTACCATTTACTCTTCTCTGCATCACCCAAAGGTCAGACTGGTAGAAAATGCCTGCGGCATTAAGTCCACCTTTTTGTACATTTTGTGCATGAAGCATTTAAAAAAAAAATAAATAAAAAATATGTAGGTATATAATAGGATATTTTAAAACTTAGTAATATTTTGCCTGCCCCGAGAATCGAACCTGAGACCTCTTGCCCAGTCGCACTTGTGACCACTCGGCTAACGGATTTAAAACTGAATCTAACTGACTCCAACATAGTTTTTCACAACGGACCTTAAAAAAACTGAGAATCTCTCAAGGTTCAAAAAACCAACAATACCAACCAATAACATTTAATTACGTTTCTTCTTCATACTAGGTTTCTTACTAGATTTTTTACACAAACAGTATAAAATAGATATAAATACTGATAATATGCTAACTAAGACTAAAGAGATGATCGCAACTAATTCTAGTTCGAGGTACTCTGTCCACGACATGTTGGCTGCAGGTCCACGCAGATGTCTCGCGCCGCCGTGACGCAGTACGTGCTCCGTCCACCACACGGCACGCTCTAGAGGTGCCATCGGTTCATCTTGCATCACACTTCTCAGTTTTTCTATGTTACGCCGATAACTGGAAACAAAAGGATTACATTTACATAAATACATAGAAAATGACTTATGTTATATTGTTAGAAGTTTTGAATATTCATTACTAGCTTTTACCCGTGGCTTCGCTAGCGTCACAAAAGGATAAAAAGTAGCCTATGTGACATATAGCAATGCACACAGCGCCATCTATACCAATATTTTTTTCCCTCGGAAATATCAAATCTTTTCGGGATAAAAAGTACCCTATTATTTAATCCGGACTTCTAACTTTACGTCTGCAAAAATGCAAAGCAATCGATTTAGTAGTTACGGCGTGAAAGTGGAACAAACAAACAAACTCACTTTCCGATTTATAATATTATTAAGGATAATAATAGCACTAAGTTTGTTATTGTATTCATATCTGAAAATAGTGTTTTGATGTTTCATTTGACAAATACGAGGCCATCCATTGAAAATGGGATGCCGTCTCCTCCTTTTGCGAAGCAGTCATGGTAGCTAAGGAGGACGCGGGGCGCATGAGGCAGCGGAGCGCTGCCTCCTCACAACCCAGCCGTCGCGAAGGACACTCCGGGCGTCGGGGATCGCGGAACGATCTCCGGCCACCGTAAGCGCGGGCCTGCGGATGGCGAGCATAGGTGGCTCACCGCGAGACCAGAACCAAAGGCGCGCGCTTCAAAGAGCCATCGCACCACCACGGATGAGGCCCAATAGGACTGATGCCGATACGGAGTCGCGAAGAACTTAACGGGTTATCGGGGCTCCGGCTCGAAGTGCTAGAGTAGGAACAGGGTGGTTTTTAGTCAGGAAAAGTCGGACACTCCCTCTTGATCCAGGCGGGAAAAATCATTCGATAATTTATCTCAATGGAAAAATCGAATGACTTTTCCCACCAATGTGAGCCTATTGTCTTATAGGTACTGGGCATAATTCCAGACTCCGTGTTACTACTGAGAATTTTTTTTAATCCCCATATGCTCACCGGTTTCCGCTCTCCACTAACTACATTATAGACCTTATTCCCGATGTTTAGAGACTACTTTTGTATCAACAATTGAGGGGATGACATTTCAGATATTTCAACATGTTAATAAACCCAGTAATACCTTGCCCTACCCGGGAATCGAACCCGAAGACCCCTTGTCCGGTAGTCGCACTTGCGACTACTCGGCCAACGAGGCAGTCCTCCCTCTGTTATATAAGACAGCAATACGTGTTTGTTTGAAACGCCTACCTTTTATGCTTAAAATTAGACAATTATGGTTATAAATACAAACCTCTCATCACCGATGACAGTAAGAATAGCATTCTTAAACTTTTCTTCTGTGATAGTATCCAAAGAAAGCTGAAGTCCGATCTTGAGGTACACATATTTTTCCACATTGAACCATTGGTCACCCAACATTGGTACTCCAATCAGAGGTACTCCTGCAGTTATAGCCTCGTCCGTTGATTGCAGACCTCCTTGTGTTACGAAGAGCTTCACTTTTGGATGCCCTATAGAACATAAAATAATATGATGACCAGATTTTGTGTGTAATTGTGTAGGATTAAGCGTGGGAGAGCCATGCTTCGGCTCAAATGGGTCGGTTCGACCAGAGTGATACCACGGCCTCACTTAAAACCGACGCGAAACAACGCTTGCCTTGTGTTTCATTATTTAAGGGCGGTTACCGGAGGCCCGATTATCTCCCTCCCCTTCTTCGTTCTCCCCTATCCCTGAATCCCCAACACTCAGTAAATTCTTTATGCCCAAAAGCCGGTAATGCACTTGTAGCGCCCCTGGTGCTCCATGGGCGGCGCCGAATGCTTACCATCAGGTGATCTCTCTGCTCGTATATCAGCTTATCACATAAAAGAAAAAGTTATTTGGAAAATATAAACAAAGAAATTATCTCTTCTCTTTTCTAGAATGTTAAGAAGTGTTACTGTAATGAGAAAATGTGGATTTTGATACGTTGTGCAAAGATAAGCCGCGGTCTAATGCTAGTATAGTTTAAACACAGTTTTTGAATAATAAGAGGATAATAAAAGAAATAGGTACGTTGCATACATATTAAATCCAAGGTCAAAGACAAAGATTATTTAAATTTGAGTATTTATTTGCTCGTACCATATAAATGTGTAAATAATTAGCTGTGCCCCGCGACTTTATGCGCGTATAATAATGACTTCTGGCAGAATTTAGATTTCTCAATATGTATTTTTCAAGGTTAATTCCAATGCTGTGTAGCAAATATCATCAGAATAAAATGACGATTAAATAAAATACTTTGGGTTTTCAAGAACTGACTTATGTTAGTGGTTAGGCCTGTGTAAAATTTTTGTCGCGGAGAACCTAAAGGGTACCGGGGCTCCGGTTCGAAGTGCAGGAGTAGAAACGGGGTGGTTTTTAGTCAGTAAAAGTCTGGAGTCTGACACTCCCTCCCGCCTCAGGCGGCGCCCCAGGCGGGAGCAATCATTTGATGATTTTCCCCCTTAAAAAAGACCTGTGTAATTTATTTTATTGTATGAAATTATTATTATTGTATGAAAAAATACGATTTTACGTTAACTGAAAATATTTTTAAAATTTAGACTGCTTTCAAGTATATTATTCTTTGCATACTATATATATTAATGTTATATCAAGATAACAAAAAAAATATCAACCATCCATTGCCATGAAACACACTTGTCAAAATAATGTCACATATTATAGGAATCTATTATTAATATTAACAATTTGTGTGTTTGTTCGTCCGTCTTTCATGACAGAATGGAGCTAATGTGTTTTTTTTTAGTGGAGATCGAGATAGTTGAAATGATGGAGAGTAACATAGGCTACTTCTTGTTTCTTTCTAATCCACCACTCCCCTAAAAAAGAGGACGGAATGGATGTTTGTATTTCCTAATTTTCATAATAGAATGCAAATAATCGGTATTATTGTGACCAGCAAAAACTTGTTAACTATATTTTCTTTTTATCTTTTGTAAACCTGCCCTCAATACTCTAAAAGAGCGCAATCGAAGCCGTGGGCAAGCTAGCCAATGAATAAAATGTATTCAGACAATTAAATTTATATTTTATCTTTAAAATTTATAATCCTGATGCAACTAAATACTATTATGAGTCCTTGAAAATAGTTTTCTATTGGCAGTCAAAGGCTTATGCAAAATAAGAAGTATTTTTTGATAGTCTCTTCACATTTCGGATTATAATTATCGAAATTTTCACACGGGTAGCCTTTTTTTCTTATTAAATACTAGCGGCCCGTCCCGGCTTCGCACGGGGGGACTTAAGATTTTTTACATAGTTTTACGTTTTATTTATATTAATTCTCAGTTTATTATTTTTGAAATAGTAGGTAAGTACTTACCTAATAGGTATCTTTTGGATGAATTAATAGTCTTAATGTAACCGATTGAACAATTCAAAAGTTATCTAGAGCAAACTATTATAAGGATTGAACCATTCATTAAAACGATAGTTATGGGTAAACTATAAAAGGTAGACATATGCTGTCGCGGACTTTTTTTTAAAAATAATGTTGAGATGAACAATTCATCTATAGAGCATTTTTGTATAACTTTAACTATGCTCAGCGCACGCCACGGAAGGCCTCAGAAACGATACTTTTCCCCTGTTTTTAAAACATTTTTGGTTACTGCTCCACAACTATAGGACCTAGCGTGATATTATATAGCCTATGTTACTTCTGAATAATGCAGCTTTCTAATGGTGCAAAAATTATTGCAATCGGTCCAGTAGTTTTTGAGTTTATTCATTACAAACATACAAAAATACAAAAATACAAATCTTTCTTCTTTATAATATTAGTATAGACTAGTATAGATATAGCCTACGTTCAATAGGGATAATGTACGTAGTAGTAGCTTCGGGACCTATTTAATTCCATAAACAAAAAATAAAATCTTTTCTCTTTATATTTTTTTAACGGGTTAAGCCCGTCACAACCTCCCAAAACCGCTGCAACTCTTGTAAGTCAGGATCTACAGTAGATACAACCATGAAAACACTGGAACGCTGAAGTCCGGCGCGTCCCAGGGACATGAATAACTGTCATGGTTCCCGCAACGAAGTGAATAAGAAGATATTATAGGAGGAGAAGAAAAAAACGATAGTTTCCACTTTCCTCGGTGAATTTATGCATTTATATACGTCAGTGGTTCCCAAACTTATTTTGTCTACTGCCCATTTTGAGAATAAATATTTTATTAGCGCCCCCATTTGTTCACCTATTTGAAAACCACTATAACTTCAAATTAAATAAATTAATTATTTTGACCTTTATATGTAGGTATATTATGTATATTAACGGAGAATTCTAAACGAAAGTTTTACTATAACCCGCAACTTGAAACCTGAGCGCAGTAGGTAACATTTTTATTTCTGGGTCTCTTATCGCCCCCCTTGAGACCTGCAGCGCCCACAAGGGGGCGTTATCGCCCACTTTGGGAAAGACTGATATACGTGAAAGGGCTTAGATCATATAATAACAATTGACAATTGAAACCAACTCACTCAAAAGATCAGACTGTGGCAGCCATTTTGATATTCTGATGTTTTTAGAGCGTCCTGGCAGTTCGTCCTTGTCCCACTTCCATAGCACGTCGTAGGGCAGTTGCGAGAATACTTTGACTAGGATCCGAATTCTCTCTGGTGGGAGCATAGATGGAGCTACGTTTGTACCGAAGCTGATGTAGATTACGCCATTCTTCGAAGAGTCCAGGTATGATTGGTAGTCCTGAAAAGAAAAGTCCTTCGTTTAAATAAATGATTGTAGATTGATAAGGTCTGGTTCATGTTTAAGTCGGCCATGTTATCGGTTGAGTAGTTACAGTTGCAGTTGCAAAGCATGGTCAGTGAAAATATTTTGAGTTCACGACAATTCTTCATAACTTCACTAGCCTTCCATTAAAGTAGATAAGTGAGTGTACCTCTAATATATTATGTAACTGTACAACTTTACCTACTCCTTTGGGGAATTGAAATGTCTGATAACAAATTGATTATGCTATTAAATAGATGAAGTTTTTATGATTTGACTGCTTCGTTGGCAGATTCCCGCGCCCGGGAAAGTATTACTGGGTTTAAAAAAAAATCTCAGTAGTAGCACGGAGTCTGGAATTGTGCCCGGTATATGGCAATAGGCTCGATTTTATTACATAGGACTAATAACATAAATAGTGAAAAGTAAGTTTTACATTGCACACTGGCATTAAGTGCCGTAATGTGCATCTGTCAGGATAAAAGGATAAAAGGTCAGGATAAAAGGCGTGATGTTTATAACGAAATAAAAAAGTAAAAAATGTACTGCACTAATAGTGTGCATTATCTTCATTCCATCCTTTTTATAATTCACTTAAATATAAACCTAATATGGCAGAACACACGACTTATAATCGATACCTACTCTAAAGTGATGCCACTAGAAAAAATAAGAAATCAAGACTATCTAATTCAAACCTTAAATATATTATACCTAAAATCTATAATAGTATGTTTAGTCGAAGTAATAAGAATAAAACTACGTTGTAGGTATGCAAGTCTCATTTCAGGTTACCTACATATTGATAAAGTTCAATAACCTTTCAATGTCAAATCACATATTCTGTTGGTTCAAAAATAATCTAATTTGTTATCGTTCAGATGTTAATTATATGTACATATATACATACATATGTATGTACATACGTGTATAACTTCACGCCCGTCTCCCATGGAGGTAGGCATTGACTATAGATCGCCAATTGCTACGCTTCCTACATACATCTTTCGCTTCATCAACAGTCATCAATCTTTATATGCATGATTTCGGTTAAGGGTAGATACAATTAATTTGACCCAAAGTCAAAGTCAAAGTATTTATTTCAATTAAACCATAATTTGGTACTTTTGAAACAAGTACAAAATAAATAATAGTCTGTCAGTCAGTCCTTCAGTAAAGCTAGGTGAAGCTAGGTGCTCATTCCAAAATGTAGATTCGAATGGAGAAGAACGAGCAGAAACTTCATTCGTCACTCTTTTAAAAAAGTATGTTCTACAATCTCTCCTTTAATATGTCGCCAATCTATTAAAGATGGGATTGTATATAGACTGTACGGTTGGTGCGGTGGCTGGGCAACCGGCTGCCGTGCAACGTGTCGCGGGTTCGATTCACTTTGTGTGATCCACAACTTGTTGTTTTTGGTCTGGGTGTCATTGTCTATGTGAACTAGTATGTTTGTAAACGCACCCACGACACAGGCGAAATTCCTAATGTTGAGCAACGTTGTTTAAGTAACGGTATTTTTTAAAAAGGAAAAAAAATCTGGTATTTATAATTTATAATTGACAAGATTTATAAAAATAAATCTTATGTTGACATGGAACTGTCAGATAAACAGCATCGTTACTTATTCGCATACAATAAAAGTGACTAGTTGACAAACAGTTTTCCCACAATTTGCAATCAAACGTAATTGATCAAATGTACAGACGACAGATGAATTAACATAAATTAATCATCAACTTTCCTATTGTTTTATCGTAAGATCGTTGCAAATCTGCCTCGTTGACCGAGTGGTCGCAAGTGCGACTGGCCGGTCAAGGGATCTCAGGTTCCAGCAAAGTGTCGGGCAAAATGACTGGGTTTTTAAAAAACTCAGTGGTAGCACGGAGTCTGGAATAGTGTCTGGTATTTGGCAATAGGCTCACCCCCTATTACATGGGACTCATAACATAAATAGTGAAAATTGGGTGCTACATTGTACCTACAGTGGTATTAAGTGCCGTAATGTGCACCTCTGCCTACCCCTTCAGGGATAAAAAAGCGTGATATTATGTTATGTATGTCGTTGTAAATTGTTTGATGAGTTCGTTAAACAAAATATTTACAAATAACTTTAGAATAGATAGTATTTTAACTGATTCCCCAAAAAGGAGAAGGTTCTCAATCCGGCTGGTATCTTTTTTTAATGTATGTATGTATGTACATCGATTACGCCGAGGTTTGTATAATTCTTTGTTGTACGCAAAAAAGATGCCATGACGTGATCCCATTAAAATGACTTGGTTCACCGACTTTTTAACTTTCAGTAGGTGTTGTAGGTAGGACTAGACTCTAAATAAAATTACATAACATAACATCACGCCTTTTATCCCCGAAGGGGTAGGCAGAGGTGCACATAATACCACTGTACAATGTAACACCCACTTTTCACTATTTATCTTATGAGTCCCATGTAATAGGGGGTGAGCGTATTGCCATACACTAGGCACAATTCCAGACTCCGTGCTACTGAAAAAAACTGCTAAATAAAATTAATTTGTGGTTTTTGTAGTTGGTTTTTTTAACCGTACCTATAGTTTTATTTTCTAAAGCCGTTTTAACAGTGGAAGTAGGTACGTGAAGCAATTTATTTACTCATTTCCTAAAAATAAACGAATGGAATTGTGTACAGTTAATAAAACTACAGTAAAAATATATAAGAAAGTAGGAAGGAATGCAGAATAGATTTAAATGAATATGTAAGACGAAAATAATTATCTCGTCAGAGAAGCGACATGCGTTCAACACATAATAATAATAATTATAAAGCGGTCAATGTCAGGCAGTCGTAAAAAAACATCTCTAATCATAGAAATAACGAACAGTTGGTGACTTTATAGTATAAAAACGATGTTTTTTTATGGGTCAACCTCCCAAACCCACTGCATTTCCTATAAACCTGGATGATGTACTGTAGATACAACCATAAAAACACCGGCACACTGAAGTCCGACGCGTTCCAGAGACATGAATAACTGGATTGGTTCCCGCAACGAAAGTGAATCAAAGATATTATAAGAGGAGAAGAATAAAAACGATAGTTTCCACTTTCCTCGGTGAATTATTGCAGGAGATAGACTAAATTAAGCCTAAAGGCACAAAAACGAGACTAGCTATAAAAATATGTTGCATTACTCACAGCTGGAAGTTCCTTCGGAGGTTTCTGATGCAACCCTCCCATGTAGACTACAGATGGAGGCACTGGCCTAATCCCCTCAAACACAGGATGCACATTCAGGAACAACATATCCACATTATTTGCCAATTCACTAATACTAGGAATTTTATCACCAAAATGTTTTCTAAGCATTTCATTCGCCTTTGCTTCATTCCTTGAATACATTTGCACTGTTTTTAAGTGACTATACAACTCTGTTACCTTTTCCCAAAGACTTAGATTATGTAGTCTTTGTCTTAAAACTGATGGGTAGAGGAATGGATGATCAGCAGCTCCTATCACTTCATAATTACCAGGCGCAGCTCCTAAAGAACTCACTAAAATCACGGGTACATTCTTAAATATGTAAGAATAAGCCAAGGCAGGCGGCACGCAAGCTTCAATCATTAGCAAATCATATTTAGTTTCTTTATCATTTATGATTTTTTTCACAGAATCCGTCTTCAACTGTGCCTCGACAACCAAAATAAATGTCCTCAAAATTATATCCATAGCAGAATGCATGTCATCCTTATTCCCTTTCGAAGCTTCTTTCATGAAATGTTCTTGCCATATTTTGTAGGAAATATCTTGAACGTCAATTTCAGTTAGATTTGGCAATGTTTCTCCTTTGGTGAAGACTGGATTTGGCGTGATGACGGTAACTTCATGACCTCTTTTGGCTAGTTCTTGAGTTATAGGGCGAAATACCACTTGGTGTGATATGGATGGCACTGGAAATACGGCAAGGATTTTTGCAGCTTCGCTTGCACTTATTATCAAAATAGAACACGCGATTAAATGTAACGCCGACATCGTATCGCGGCCAGTTATGCCGGCATACTAATGCATGTACGCTTATGAAACTGTTTATATATGTATACTTATTTTTATTGTTAGACGTTTTCCTGTACTGCTTTTTACGTTCCGTATCAATCCTCAAGGATGCATTCTAATCTTATCACTATTGGGTATATGAAAAAAAAAGTTTTTATTCTGATTACCCGTTAATGAGTCTCGTAAAAAAACATAAAAAGTGGGTGTTACATTTATTCATATATGGCTCTGCCTTAATTCAGCTGGTTCAGTTATGTCATGCCGTAATAAACCGTACGTTCAGTGTCCGAGTTGCCCTTGACTAATATATTATTAATTATTTATTTATCATGCCGCTAGATAGGGGATAAGTTCAAGGTTATGTAAACTAAACAAATCTATTTGTATAAACTATTCAATCAATATTACGCATATGCACAAAACTTCTGTGCTGGATTGAAATTCAGATCCTAGTGCTTTCTTACCCCTGAGCGTACGGCGCGTCCCGTTCCGCGTACACCTCAAAGAGCCATGAAACCACCACAGACAGGGCCCAATAGGGCTGATGCTGATACGCAGCCGCGGAGAACGTAAACGGTTACCGGGGCTCCGGTTCGAAATGCAGGAGAAGAAACGGGGTGGTTTTTAGTCAGTAAGAGTGTGGCACTCCCTCCCACCTCACCCAGACGGGAGAAGGCTTTCGATGATTTTCCTCCTTAGAAACAGTGTTTTTTATCACACTTAACGTAATGATACTACTGTTATTATAAATGCGAAAGTTTGTTAGTAAGTATGTTTGTTTGTTGGTATGTTATTTCTTCACATTAAAACAGCTGAAGGGATCGAGATTAAACTGTCAAACACCAAGCGGTCACCGGTGACCGCAACCTATTGTTCTATAATTGTGTCTATAAAACCGGTACTCGACGAGTTAAATTTGGAACACATGGTCTGTAATTTTTTTTTCTCATTTTTTTTTTAAAAACTTTGCCCCACATTAGGATTTTCTCCTGTATCGTGGGTGCGTTTACACACATACAAGTTCACATACACAATGACACCCAGACCAGAAACAACAATTTGTGGATCACACAAAGTATTGTTCCGTGCGGGAATCGAACCCGGGACACGTTGCACCGCAGCCGGTTGCCCAGCCACCGCATCAACCGTGCAGTCATAATAACACATTGGCTACTTTTTATCCACAGTAACGCGGGCGAAACCGCTGGTGGAAGCTTGTTTAGAGAAATAGAAAAACAATGAGATACAGGTACAAAGTCCTAAACGAGTAATTAACATTTTCGTTATAAAACATCTACCATCAGTTATTTTTGTACATGCATGCGTTTTTTGCGATATATAATCTGTGTGAGGAATTATTTGTATTTAACTCGTCGAGTACCGGTTTTGTAGACACAATTATAGAACAATAGGTTGCGGTCACCGGTGACCGCTTGGTGTTTGACAGTTTAAGATCCTTTGGTTTTCTGAATGTGTTTTTTTTTAAATATTTTTTTTTATTTAAATAAATAGTGAATCTTTTTAGTGAAGTTTTTTTTTAACTTTGGCTTTGAGCTTCGACCATCACACATGATACTTACCGTTCTTATGCAATCAATACTAGACATAATATGGGAATAATCTATATATATAAAATTCAAAGGTGATTGACTGACTGACTGATTGACTGACTGACATAGTGATCTATCAACGCACAGCCCAAACCGCTGGACAGATTGGGCTAAAATTTGGCATACAGATAGATGTTATGACGTAGGCATTCGCTAAGAAAGGATTTTGATAATTTCCACCCCCAAGGGGGTAAAAAAGGGGATGAAAGTTTGTATGAGACTTTGTCAGTTTTAAACCGATCGGGTTGTAATTTGGCATGCAGATAGATGTTATGACGTAAGCATCCGATATGAAAGGATTTTGATAATTTCCACCCCCAAGTGGGTAAAATAGGGGATGAAAGTTTATATGAGCCTTTGTCAGTTTTAAACCGATCGGGTTGTAATTTGGCATGCAGATAGATGTTACGACGTAGGCGTCCGCTATGAAAGGATTTTGATAATTTCCACCCCCAAGTGGGTAAAATAGGGGATGAAAGTTTATATGAGCCTTTGTCAGTTTTAAACCGATCGGGTTGTAATTTGGCATGCAGATAGATGTTACGACGTAGGCGTCCGCTGTGAAAGGATTTTGATAATTTCCACCCCCAAGTGGGTAAAATAGGGGATGAAAGTTTATATGAGCCTTTGTCAGTTTTAAACCGATCAGGTTGAAATTTGGCATGCAGATAGATGTTATGACGTAAGCATCCGCTTTGAAAGGATTTTGATAATTTCCACCAAGGGGGTAAAATAGGGGATGAACGTTTGTGTGAGGCTTTGTCAGTTTTACACCGATCGGGTTGAAATTCGGCGTGCAGATGGATATTATGACGTAAACGTCCCTTTAGAAAGGTTTTTGAACATTCTCACCCCAAAGTATGATACTTTGCCAGTTTTAAATTGATCGGGCTGAGACTTTGCATGCATAAAGTTACTATGACATAGGTATCTCTTTAGAAAGGATTTTGATAAATTCCACCCCTAAGGGGATAAAATAGGGAATGAGAGTTTGTATAAATCTTCTTAGCCGTTGAATTTAGAATCATTGAATCTTTTTGAATTACATTCGGTAAAACGATGATTTGGGACCTGGGTAACGTATGATAGTTTTTTCACAGATGTCTCACGAGAACGGGAACTATGCGTCAATGCCCCAGGACTCTCTAACTCTTAACCACTGAACTTATTCTAGAGAGATTCGGTACAACAATAGTCGATAGAATAGTTTTTATTACTCAAACCTTACGTGATCGGGCACTGTACTGGTAAGATCCCTGCGGGATTATTTATTTATTGAAACTACGATAAATCATTTCAAAATAGGTAAATCTTACTTGGGCACTGAATTGATTCTGGTTAATTCTGTCAGAAGTCATTAATCTACGCGGACGAAGTCGCGGGCAACAGCTATCTACACATATAATAAATCGTAGAAAAGTCAAAACTGTACATTGAATATTTTTTAAAAGAATATTTGAAGCGTGATCTCTAATCGATACCGAAGCCAATAATGTGGTTTTTAGAATTTTTGTCTGTTTGTCTGTATGTATGGCCGTGATGATCTCAAAAAGTACTGCACTACTATTTCAAATTTTGCATGAATATTACTAACAAGTCTGGTAAACATATAGGCTACATATTATCACGCTATCATCTACGGGACTGAATCAATTCTGACGACATCCATTACCGTAGAATATCCCTTAATAAAAACTAATTCAAAAGCCTAAATTCTGCCAGAAGTCATTATTCTACGCGGACGAAGTCGCGGGCAACAGCTAGTATGTAATATTTATACAAGTGCTAGTTTCTTCTACTGCTGATTATTGACTGCCTCGTTGGCCGAGTGGTCGCAAGTGCGACTGCCGGGCGAGGGGTTTTGGGCACGATTCCCGAATCGGACAAAGTACTACTGGGTTTTTTTAATGTCAGTGGTAGCACGGAGTCTGGAATTGTGCCCGGTATACGGCAATAGGCTCACCCTCTGGGATTCATAGCATATAGTGAAAAGTGGGTGTTACACTGTACTGTGGCTTTAAGTGCCGTAATGTGCACCTCTGTCTACCCCTTCGGGGATAAAAGGCGTGATGTTATGTTATGGTACTTGTTTCTGCCGGCGACTTTGTGTGCGCAATCCCATTTCTTCACGTTCCCGAAGGATTTTCGAAAAATCCTTAGCCTAAAAGCAGGGGTTTTTAGATAGCTTAGAAAATAGACATGGGATATTTTTACCTACCTAGCTACCTTACCCTACCAATTTCGTCGCGGAGAACCTAACGGGTAACCGGGGCTCCGGCTCGACGTGCAGGAGAAGGAACGGGGTGGTATTTAGTCAGTAAGAGTCTGACACTCCCTCCCGCCTCACCCAGGCGGGAGCAGTCATTCGATGATTTTCGGCCCTTAAAAAAAATCCTATCAATTGTCAGCAATATCGATTTAATAATTGTTGATTTATAAATAGTGTAACTAATATAGTTTTTTTATACATATCTACATATATCTGTACTATCTATTTTTTTTTTAAGGGGGGAAAATCATCGAATGACTGCTCCTGACTGGGTGAGGCGGGAGGGAGTGTCAGACTCTTACTGACTAAAAACCACCCCGTTCCTTCTCCTGCACGTCGAGCCGGAGCCCCGGTTACCCGATAGGTTCTCCGCGACATCTATACTAATAATATTATAAAGAAGAAAGATTTGTACCTATTTTTGTATGTTTGTAATGAATAGGCTCAAAAAGTACTGGGCCGATTTAAAAAATTCTTTCACCAATAGAATGCTACATTCTTCCAATTTGACATAAGCTACATTTCATTTAGAAAAAAAATTAGGGATCCTTGGTAAAATTTGAACAATGTAACCGAAGGTGTAGAAAAATGAGTCTTAAAATGTCTTTCGTCGAATGCGTTGCCGAAACTATTAGCGATAGAACATAATAATGTACAACAATATTGAAGAACATCATAATGTCTACAAAAAATTCCGCGGTAGCATATGTCTAACTATTGTAGTTATGCCACTACAACAATCCAAATTTCCAAAAATAAACAATTGTCTACCCCGTGCGAAGGCGGGACGGGCTGCTAGTAATGTATAGATAAGCACGTAAAGATTTATCAGATAAAATATTTAATCAAAATATAGTAGTTCCTTTGTATCTAGTATCAAACATATTGGCTGCGGTTTGGTTTGCAGATGGTAAACTGATAGGTTCTAAGGCTCGGGTTATATCAGTGACAACTAAGAGAATATAATTTTATAAATAATCAAAAAAATACTTAAAGGTATTGTCATAAAGTTGAAATATGACAAGAAGAGAAGTGTGGGAGAGCCATGATTCGGCACGAATGGGTCGGCTCATCCAGTGTGATACCACGGCCTCACAGAAAACCGATGCGATGTGAAACAACGCTTGCGTAGTGTTTCGTCGTGCGAGTGAGGTTACTGGAGACCCAACTAATTCCTTCTTCAATCTCCCCAATCTCTGAATCCCCAACAAT